TCCATGATTTATTTCAGATTTCACAATTTTGTCTAATTAAATTATGTTTTCACATTTAGAGAACAGTGGCATTTGTTTCAATATTGATTATCTCAATGCTAGAGCTGTAGATTGATAAAAATGTTTAAAAAAGGAAAAAAAAAAACAGAAAAAAACCAGAAAAAAAACCTTAAAAAAATAAAAAAAGATAATAAGTTGAAACAAAAGAAACAAGATCACAACCACCAAGAAGCAAAACTTAAACAGTCTAAGGTCATGCTTTATCATAAGGTAAAACTGCAAAATAAAATTGTGGAGAATATGGGGATTAAAACAGAATAATTCAGTTTTGCACCAAAACTGAAGTGCTGAGTGGCTCATAAGGGCTCAGTTGATTATATTAAATATTTTAAACACATTTATGGGGATGATTTTAAATATGTAGAGAATAAAGTATCCAGTTCTGTAAAGGGCTAGACAGAATCAGCTACAAATTTAACACGAGGTTCAGACCATTTATGAATTCTGCAAAGAGCTCAAGCAGAAAAAGAGCTTACAGTAAAATTCAAATGCATTTAAAAGGAGTTTAAAGACTAAGACATCCATACTGCATGATGTTAATTTATTATATTGTAAAAACTACACTGCAGAATCTGGAGTTTCCAAAGCTTTGCAGGGAATTACTTCAGGAGTACTTGTGTTTGGCCATTAGAAATGTAAAAAAGGCTGTGGGGAAAAAAAAGATTTTTTTTGTATTGTTCTTCTAGAAAATACCAGATTATCTCATAAAGAAGCTTCATCCCTATGAGTTTTCAGCTCTATTTCTGAGTGCAGAGGTATGGGGAGTGAGCGATTCTGTCGCCTGCCTGATTCTATCCTCAAAACTATGAGAAACTCTTAGCTACTATATAAATGTGTTTGTTTGTTGGTTTGTTTTTAGGTTCAAAGAAGCATGGGAAGCTGGGTAGGAAGACTTGTAACTTAAAGGTGACTATTTGAACATTGTTTTGTTCCTAACAAGGTTAATGAAACAGAAGAAACCAAAATAAAATCCTTAACCTTTCAGACACTCATGCCTGGTAGTTCACATTTTCCCTTATTTAAGTGACCTAATGTAAAGTAACATTCTGGTGGGCACCTACTTTTAGTTATATTTTTGAACAGTATCTTTTGATCATTTCTGCAAGCAAACAGTTACAAAAAAAACCAAGAGGTCAGAAAATTTATAAATGGAGTAAGTGGGAAAATGTCATGCTCTGAAAAGCAAATGTGAGCTATGTTAGATCAGTAAATTGTGCTGTTGCACTATCTAACCATGTGGCAGTGAAGAGCACTCCACTGTATTCGAATCCTGCAGTGCAAATAGCGCCTAAGTACGTGCTTACAGATATTGCAAGTTCCCTGCTGACTACAGGTAGGCTTACTTGTATGTTTTCATTTTAACATGTCTAAATATTCTGCTGAGTGGGTGTGAAGGTCAATTGTTTCAAGACTGTACTGGATTTTTTTAAAAAATGCACTAGAGTAGTATGTCTGCAGAAGTCATTTTATTTACTTCCAAATAATTCTCTCTAGTGTAAATCATTATGCTGTTCCATATGCCTAAACACAATTTCAATCATTGTACTATTTTATACATTGCATCTTCACAGCAGATTTGGCAGCATACAAAAGCAATACAGTGAAAACCCATGATTTCATAGTGGTGTTTTCTCAAATACCACATTTGGCATTTTGTTATGGTATGGCAAATGTAAAGCCAACAAGAACAAACTAAAATACATTCTAGGTTTGGACTAAACAGAATTCAGTTCCTGTCTGGACTTCCCAAAGGCTGAGTGAGTTTTAGTTCATGTATCAGCAGAACAACTGTACATTTAGGTCTATTATGCATACAATATGTGTTTGCACACAGTAATCTGAAGCAGTAAGTGTAATACAATTATCTTTAAATGTAGTGATTATGTGCCTGCCATTTCAGAATTTCTGAAGAACTTGGCATCTCTGTTTTGTAGTCTGGTAAAGAATACAACCTTTTGGTTTTGGATTTTCTTTTGTCAAACCCTGAACATGTTGGAAATCATATTTAAAAATTGTGCCTAGTTCTGATTCTTTTTCAGTGTGGAATTAAATTTTATATGTTCATAGAGTTATACCTTTCAGAAAGACTTTAGGTCCTTTATAAACCTACTTATAGCCCCTAAAGATGATAGTTTAAAATACAATTTGATTTTCTTCCCATGAAAGAACCCCAAACTTGGAATAATATAATAATTACAAAACAACACATAATAGAGACTTACAAGGAATTATGTGTATGCCTTTTACTTTTGGTAACATCATCTCTCCTTTAAATTAATATTTATTTTTTGTATGGTGCCAATGTGTTATGTGACGCTGTCTTATAGCTGAAAAAATGGTGTGAATTCAAACAAATAAATAGGTGAATGTCCAGAATTAAATTCTCATTGCTTTTAAGAGTAGTTAAGTTGCTCTGGTTTTTTTAGAAATTACAATTAGAATGCTATTCTGTTCCATGCAAGTCCTTTCTGTGGATAAGATTCCAGAAAACACGATATTCTGGGACTGCATGAAATTTTTTTTTCTTCCTTGATTTTGCAAGTTTTGAAATCATCAATTCAATCTGAAAAAGCCCATAAATCCACCCTATAGATGTAGAGTATGCTGAAGGGGTCCTGTGTTGTAATAAAAATAATAATGACACTGTCATTAGAATGATAAACAGTTTGCTTGCATTTTTTAAACTTCATAAAATTGCCTCTTTTTTACTGTAAAGGACCAATTAAGTCATGCATGTAGCTGTATTCTTGTGATATCAAATGTAAAGATGACATTGTGTTTAAATGAAAATAACAGGCACACATTTAAAAAGAATATGAAGAAATGTAAATATATTTGATTAATAAAACATTTCTATTACTGTACCCTAAGCCTTTGTCTTATGTTAATATTACTTACGGAATTTTGTCTGTGTTCTGTAGAAAAATCAAATATGCTTGAATGATTGTGCATTGAAAGTAGCCTCAAATAATCAGCATGCCCTGCTGTAGTTGTCATTACCAGCTTCCAAAAGGTGTTTGCAGCTTGGAAGCTGCAAATTCTTGCGGTCAGAAGAGAATGAGATCAAGTCTAGGTTTCTTGGTCACTGGGTCTCACAACTCCTGTTGATACATTGCAGAGGAAATGCTATAGTCATGTTCAAGCAATTTCTCAAATGTATTTCAAAATACTTTCCAAAATGATGATAATGATGTAAATCATGACATATTATAACTAAGTTTTTCTATTCTCCCCACTCAAGTGCCAGGCTTTTTTGTGATTGATGGCTCCAGTAATTTTTGATTACCTGAATCCTGATTAAAAGGATCACCATCTAGTGGACTAAGACAGAATTTCAAAATTCCAGCTGATAAGGACTCTGAACTCATTCTTCAGAAGTCATTCTAAAACCACAGTTAAAAGCAGTAACCATGCTCCACTGCAAAGGACCTTCAGTGCCTTTTTCAACATTTTATCACTGCCATTGTGTGTGAAAAAGAGCAGCAATCAGTTTACTAAGCTACCCCTTGTTCCACTCGAAAAAATATGACTTGAGCATGCGAAAAATACGTCAGTTTATGTCACTTTCATGTTATATGACCTTTTACATAAGCACAAGAACCACCATGGTAGAATAATTGAGCAAAACTACTATATTTGAGAAAATACTCAGGTAAATCAGCCAGCAGGCTGCCTGCTGATTTGCAAGTAGCAGGGATAGTCAATCATTCAAGGCAAGTTCCTATACATCCGTGGAAAGTTCTTTCCAACAAGAATTGTACTGAGTCTTGCTATATGAGATTATATCACCAGAGCTGCGTAATCTGTCATGAGCTAATGAGACACAAATGTCTGAAGGGGGTGGTGGATGAGGGAGTCCTTTGGCTGATGGCCCAGTCTGTGATATGGAAAAGTCCTGGGGTCCACCACCTTGAAACTCTTTGGGTGCATGATTTAGAAGGGGTGAGACTCAGGTCTGCTAGTATTTTTCTTTTAACTCATTTACTGGACTTTCTTAGCGGCACTGAGGACCAGCAGTGTGCCGCTTACTTAATTTGTCTCTGAATGTGCTCTCTGAGGTCTGGGGAAGAATCAAACTTATATTAAAGTGAAAAAGACCAGGAAAGCTAGATAGGAACAGTTTTAATGTTTGTTTTTTGCTGGGTTTTTTTTTCCAAATAAAGTGGAAACTTGCTCCCAAACAAGTAGACAAGACATCAGCAGCATCCAAGTCACCGTACACACTGCTTGGGTAACCTCCTTGGCATCAAAAAGCATCTGCCAGTTACAACAAGTCCACAAACCCAAACTACTCTTGAACTGATGGCACATGGATGTTGAAGCCGCACTCTGACCTCCACGTACTGAGTGTCAATTTCCCCGTCCTCAGACTTACTTCTTTTCATACTTGCTAAAAGACAGTCAGCAAAACATTTTGAGAGCAAGCTTTGCCAGCCTCGTGTTCCATGGTTGCAGGGGATCTGACAGCCTTCTGGAATAACCAATATAGTGCAGGGTGCGTAACACGCCCACGTGTCTGGTGAAAATAGACAGCAACTATTGTACAATAATTTGGTCCCTTAAAACTGGCATGCTACAAGCCAGTGCATCAGATGGGGGCTTTATTTTTCTTCTCAGTGTTTCCTGATGGCCAGCCTGAGGACAATCCTTGACTAGCTAGTCAAGGGACAACCACAGGTAGCTTCTTTGCTCTAAATCTGAGTCACTTATAGAGGTGTAAAATAAGGACCACAGATATCTGAACATAGCCACGGGTGATTTCTTATTTGTGTTAGTAAGGACATCAGAAAACTAATGGTGTAGAAGACCTAGATAACCAAATATGGTTGGAACTGGTCCGAGGACATAGGAGGGGAAGAGGAAAATACAGTCTTATCACAAAAGGAATCAAAATCTTCATACTCAGTGTGTCTCATCTTGGAAGAAGGCATTAATGAACC